TATAAATCAAAATATGTAAAAAAAAAATTAAAATAGAAAATCTCGTTGAATATAAAACCAATGCTATGAAATACTATCGAAAAATCAAAAAGTATAAAAATCACCTACTTTTTATACACTCCTCAGGGTCCCACCCTAATTGTTGCACAAGATATCTAAAATAAAGCAAATGAAAAATTGTAAGTGTATTTACTGGTTAAGTTAATTTAATAAATTTGGACAGAAATTAAGAATGTAGATAAGGTTAATTACTATATGAACGTTTGTATATAAATTATAAATAGATGAGGATCCTCAAGTGATGATTAGATCAGAGTTGTTAGTTATGGCTTATTCTCAATATATTAAAATTATTTACTTCTATTTTATGATGAATGTATTAAGCCATTAAGAAAATAATAATTAGTAGCTAATCAAAACTGATTAAAATGTATACTAACCTACAAATAAGGTACCCAGAACGATTTATACCGTGTGTGCAGTGAACACCAATAATGTCTTCTGAAACAAAAGAAATAAACATATTTCAAGTTACAGAAATTATAAAAGGTAATTCACATGTAAAATAATATTATGCATGAAATTTGATTATAATTAGAAACTGTACTTTCTGTTTACCCCTTGCCCTGCAATATCATGTTAGATTCGTAGCAAAGACTTCAAGTACAATTTAGCAAATATAAATATCACTTAATTCTTTCGAGTCAAAATTAAATATTATTTTTCTATTATCGATTATAGTGCTTTAGAGTAAATGTAGACATAAAATGATCGTAGAATGTTTTTCTTTTTCTAACGAATTATGAACAATGAAGTAGTTATGTCGAGTGCAGTTGTAAAAGAAATCATGGTACAGGGGTTAATTGTACCTTCTCCATACATTTATAAATACAGAGGTGTAACATAAATATAATACGTTCAAATATATTAAATATGTCTTTTATATTATTAGTGTCACGAGACAGTGAACGAACAGTGCCGAATGTAAATTGATCACAAGTAGTTTCTAGTTCATCATAATTAGGCCCTATATAAACTATCGGCTCTTGATCCACTCTCTATTCGATCAAATATTATTCAAGTTTTTAACGCATATGTTCACACTGTGAATCTCGGTCCCTTCTCGGTTCGACCTTGTTTTACCTCCGTTCATCGAAAGTAATAAACAAAAAAAGAATATTCAGAGGAGCGTGAGAGGACCGATAGTATACATCGAACCTTAATATCTAATAATATGCATATATGGTTACAGTAACCGAAATTTCGAAATTCGATGAAAGTTAAACTATTGACGAGAAATTCGAGTCCCATAGAAGTACGTAAATTCAACTTTTCGAATTATTCTTTAATATAGAATTTAAGGGCGAATTCCAAATACAAGTTGAATTTTTTATTACATAATTCATATTATTTGAAAGTATTATTGTGTAAAAAATGAATGTAGCATTTATATCCTTATACAAGATGCTATATTTTAAAATGCAATATCTTTTCCTGTATTTATTTTCTCATCTTTCATTTTTGTTTTAGTTTTAATTTACTAAAATTCAAAGAAGAAAAATAAATCGCTCGTTAAATTCAGTTTCCTAAAGGTTAAATTCTAAAAATCCATTGCATTTAAATTATTAAATTCCTAAGTGTTTGAGAATTGTTTTAATAATAATATAATCTTTAAATATACCTATAATTGTATTAACAAAAATTACTCAAAGATTACCAGTATCAAAATATTTTCTAGCCATACTCGGTTAATATTACACAAAATCCATAATGATTTTCAAGATGTTATGTTTCAATATAAAAATGAATAATAATGAAAGCAAATAAAAATTATGTTGATAAAATTTATTTAATATGTACATGCAAATTACGTTTATTAAACGAAAGCGCTGAAAATATTTAAAATAACTATTGTATTCAATGATATTACTAACTTATTACTATTAACACATTGACCGCCACGATGACTGGAAATTCCAAAATGCTTGAAGACAATTACACGAAGGAAACTGATCTTGAATCAATATATTCAATAATACAGATAGCTAAATGATAGTGTTACTCAAGAACTATGACACCAAACCATCAATAACTAATACCAATATCATTTGCTTTCATTACGAGAAAATAAATAATACTATACAAAACGGTCAAAATTCTCGTGGCGGTCAACGCGTGAAACGTTCCGACATGGAGCACTAATAATATTATTTTTAAAGAAAAATAACAAAATAATTATGTTACTTTAACCAGTTAACACGTCATCTCAAAATCAAAATGATACTACTTCTTTCAACGATCAATTATTTATTTTTCAGATAAACATGTAATTCTTCTTTGCTTAGCTTTCCATTACAATATATTATAGGTGCATATGACCTGCATTTTCCGAGTATACGCATCATTATTTGATTTCATTACGAATATTACCAGAGATTTTTCAAATTCAATTCCGCAGTTAACAGATTAATAGAAAAATGTATAAAACATAATGATACAAGCTTTACAGGAGAACCTTGGAACATCCAGTATAACCATAACGAATTTAACAATGATACATAAGTATGAAATTGTCACTAGAACCTATTCAAATATTTTACTGTTAATTCCAAAGGAATACGTTCGTATTGAACAAAACGAGTATATACTGAGGGTACCAACATTTCAAGAGATTTTAAAATTCGGCGGGTGAGATCGGGTGAGAGAGAACCAAGCGATAAATATAAGAGCAACGCGCGTAAGGTGAGACGCACGATTTCACGGGTCATCAATTCAGCGTGAAGTGCAGGATCGGCACCTCTTCGAGCCCAGCAAGGGGCTGATTATAATATTACCGCAAATTACCAGCGAAAGCTGCGACGAATTCACGACGATTCGTGGCTCAAGTTTGAGCGGGTCACGGCGGCACTTTCGTAAGGGGCAAACCTCGATCGGAGTAGTCGCGTAATAATGACCGGCATGACCCTACTACCTCTTTCGCCCGTCAATTTCTCTCTCCGCATTTTCCTTTTCCGCGCGGACGGAGTGTGAGTACGCGATACTTTGGACCCACTCGTAGCCCCTCGCCTCGGCTTACACTGTGAATTAAGTGGCCATCGGAGGTCATGCGATATGTTGGTTGACCTTCGCGAGCCTCTTAAGAAGATCGTTCGCGGAAACATGACGCCATTTATACGCAGGAGCGAGGTCTGAACGTTTCAGTACTCCCATACAGTGAGGCGAGTGTATTTATCAGCGAGTCGGGGGAAATTACGCCCCTGATGCCGACAAAATGGACCGTGAAAAAAAATAATTGGGGAATATCCTATGAATAACGTAGCACGATCCTTCGGGACATGGAAGATTTAATTGTACACTTGATGCACCACTGTTTCAGTGCTTAACGCTAGAATTACTGAACATTTAACACTATCTCTAGCGAAGGTGTCCAAGACACCTGAAGTTTTAACTTATAATTGTTTCTTCAGTTTAATAATTTGTTCCCAGTTGAATTTTGGACATTTTCTATAGTTAATTTTATATTCGTTATTGGAAAAGTCGAAAAATTAATTCAGAATATACGATTAAACTTGGAAAATAATTCAAACGATTAAACTTGGAAAATAAATTAAACGATTAAACAATTAAACAGTTAAATATAGGTATAGATTTGGCAATTTACAATAGCAAAGTGTATGGAAACCTAATATATTTTACAATAAAACAAGATTAAAATAGTATAATAAAATATAACACAGTACAATAATATAGTAAAATTGAATAGTGTAAAGAATCAGAAATTTAGGTACAGTCAAAGAAATAAAAGATAATGATGATAGGAAGTAATGAAATAAGAAAGTACATAGTTACAAATGTAAGAAAAACTGAATCAATAGTTACTCTAATTGTAGGATAAAACTGGTATATATTATGAGATATATACGTTTATAATTATAATATATAATAACATATTTATTATACATCATATACAGATTTGTATAAACAAATTAATATTACACTCTCATTATAGTAAAATTCATAAAATATACAATTAATACCTAGACCAAATAACTCCGTTAGATGTTATTCTTACTGATTGAAAACCAATATCAAAAAACCGTGCAGAAATAAAACAATGCGATAACAAATCTGAAAAAAGACACAGATACCAATTTTAAAAAATCCAAAAGTATTTCAGAGACTCCTATTATAAGTTGGATTTCTACTATAATTCAGCCACTTATCTTTCATGGAACCGTACTTTAATGGAGTCGTTATTAGGTAATATGAACGAATAAAAAATTCATTAGTGATTATTTCGATAACAGTTTGATACCCAACTAACGACCAGCTGGTTTAACGGATAGTAAGAGTCCAGATTTACACGCAGGGAACAAGCAAGGTAAGCTCATTCCACGTTCCTATCTATCACAGGGTCATCTCCCTTTTGCATACGCAGAAACATATATCTTGCAGAAGACAGGAATATTCTCGGAACACGTCGGCATCTAATGTGAATCTAGAGCGAGCACCCCCGTGGTGCACCAACATGCTAAGCCTGGCAAATAAACCGATCCTCAGAAAGATTGCCAATGACCTGCGACCTTTCTGATCCACTATATCGACTTTCACGGACGATTAAATATCGAGTAATACATCTTTACCTTCTGTAATGGCAGACCTCCGACATGTAATTAATATCTTCTTCAGCGCATATTCGTAGAACACTACTCATTGTCCACTGTTACGTGTGAACAATATTATTCAACATTGATTCTAATACGTTACTCTTTCATGCAAATTATTTACACTCTTCGAATCTATTTCAATTACATGATGAGGAAAACAGTTACTTAATTAACCGTCAAGCTATGAAAATTTTCTGACTTTCCTCTGAAGAAACGTTAGGAAAATTTATAGCTGGTATTGAATAATTATAATAAAATTTTTAATAGTAACAGAAAATAGTAAAGCTAATTAGAGATGAAGAAAATATGTTGACTATTGAAAGTGTTTTTGAATACGATTATAATTGTGTTATCACAATCACCAAGATAGCTGGGGAGAGTCCACTTGAATGTACGTCTTTAGTTTTATTTTGTGATAACTCAATTTGACAAAAAAGGTCGACATCATTGTCAAATAGAATCTATGGTTATGATAATATGAGGACAACGTTTAGAAACAATAAAATTTACCGAATTTAGATACATCAAGCATTTATTTAGTATGTCCTTATATGAGGACTCCATGATCGAAAGAGTTAAGGTAAGTTGTACCAATATACTCTAAGGTTAAAGTTATTATACTTTATGATAATGTTAATTAAATAAACCCTCCTATTGCACAACTCTATTACCTTACACAGATAAGAATTACCTTTTTATTATATGTTCGCCATCATTAAGAAGTTAATAACCTCCAATGAACAGATATGTATTTGTATAATTTTTATTAATTAGGAAACCATATAATATTTTGAAACTTATTTAAAGTAATTATAATTTCGTCATAATACGATT